GGTGTGTGTGGAGTGTGTGTTAGTGTGTGTTTAGTCCATAGTTTTGTTTGCTGTTAGATGTTGGATTTTGGTAGTAAAGACCAAAATCTACTGTGAAAATGACGATGCAGAGGTAGCAGGTACATATTAGAAATTCTGTATTTTTGAAAGGCCCAAGTATATATAATCTCTCAGACATTCCAGAACCACAGCAATATCTAAAATTGTAGAGAACTATCATTAATTTAAATGTGTTCCCATCAGACACCAAAGAGGAAATTCACCAGCAGTGTTAAAAATTTTTAGCAATTTTCGGGACTCTTAGGACAATCTTCTCAATTGATCATGTATTTACCACGTGTGAAGCCACCTGCCGGTATCTATTAAGTTCTTCTGGTTTCACCAGCTCCTCTGGCACAGTCTTCCCTCTCTGTCAAAAGAAGAAAAGAAAACTCACTTACCAAGAACACAAACTACCTAGGACAAGCAATTGGAACTCTCTTAGCAGTTATTCTGCTAAGAGAATTTTTATGCATATCCCAGAATCAACCGATTCCACAGCCAAGTTTACTAAAAAGGGGCACTTGCCTTTTTCCGCTCTGTAGTCAGCACTGTGGCTTTGTCTTGAAGCTGCAAGATAGAAAAACATTAGGAAAATTAGAAAAACTATGCCATAATCGTGTACAAAGAGGCTGGAGATAACATTAGACATAGCAGTTTTAATATAAAATTGAAGGCACAGTGATATAGGATAGGCTAAAAGTGTGTGTTTCACGCATAAAATCACCCCTTGAGAATGAAATGAACCACTTCAAACATTTTCAAACTTTTGTAAAATCCCTGAAACAGGCAATTTCATGCTTGAAGTTAGGTGTTTTGCAAAGTTGCATATTCAGACTGATTCAAAGGAAACCTTTTTGCACATTCCTGCTACAGAAATGGCACAATCATTTCTATGTATTTAACACTCAGGTCAAAGTATTATAACTGTTTATCTGTAGTCCTGAGCCCAAAACATTTCTTACTTTCTGGATAATCTCTGGGGTCATTCCTGCCAACTCTCCTAGATCCATTGGTTCACCGGCACCCTGGAAAAAGAGCAAATAAAGCATTTCAGTTCAGAGAAAGAAAACACAGCATGAAGAGAATTACGAAATTACGTGGAACGTACCATAGGATTTGGTTGTGAAGAGGGTATAGCTTGGGGAACAATGAGGCCGGCCTGGGGTTTCAGAGTTGCCAAAGCTGGGAAGAAAGAGATGATTTGGCAGGTTTAACACAGTTGGCATAATGGGGTGTTTTCTTGGACACCATTAAAAAAATAAAAATAAATATTCTGTGCTGTACCTTCTCTTGCAGCAGTCACCTCTTTGGTGAGACGAGCAATGACACGGCAGGCAGCATCATGCTGGTAGAGTGCATGAGAAAGTTCCTGGCGTGTAGTCTGAAGCTGCTGGCGCAAAGTGAAACTGTGTAGCATGACGGCATCCTGAAGGAAGCAATTTCACACATTAATATTGTATGGGACGATATCTGGACATGCTGACTTAGTCAATAACTGCGAACACACAGCATGCCAGCACACGCAGCCCATTAATTTCTGCCTTGGTTTTTCCACTCTTGTGAACAGGAAAAGCAAAGTGAAAATGGATAGCTTTCATAACATCTGAAATCAACCTATTGATTTTTTTTTTTTTTACTAATCCCTTGTTCTATGAGCACAAAATCTGATTCTGGATGTTACACGAGTGGCAGAACTTACTTGCTCACGATAAAATATGAATTCTGGATTACTGTATGAAAATATATATATATACCCATTCATCTTGTAGGGCCTTCAGGATAGCTGGAATACTGGTAGCAGAAGGAGGCTTAGGCCGAATTGGGTGGGCAACTGTGAATGAAATATATACACGCATTAATTCTAGAGAACCCCAATATTTACCCTCACAAGTCTTTAAACTGTGGCTAGGACAGTTCTGTCAACTTTAATTTTAGTGAATTATTTTTTGCCTATTGCTGTGGGGTTTCCTCCAGTGTGATCCAGCTGGGAGTAGGATTGAAGACTATGGATGGCATTGGAAAAGCAAAGCTGCTATATTCATGCCTTGCTATTTTAAAACCAAAGGAGCTGAAAAAACCTGACCACAGACATTGATATAATTATAGTTGGAGACAGATGTTCAAGTAAATCGGATGGAAAGAGCAACATAGAAACAATGGACAAAGTGCAAAGTGAGAAAATGTGGATGTAAACAGAGGTGGTATTTTTGATTAGGAAGAAGTGCCAGATATACATTTTAGTCAAGAGTTGCTTTGGTTAGGGAGATGGGCAGCATATAATTTAATAAATAAATGAGATGTATACATATAGCACTTTTTTGAAATATTGTTGTAAATGGGTCTGTTGAACAATCTTCTCCTTAAACCTGGCCCTGATATTTTGGAATCATTTCACATCTTACAATAAACTAACAAATATTTTCAAGACTTTCATACAAGGTTGTAAGAGATCAGTCAGAGTAGGTACTCTGTATTCAACAAAGTAATTCTCCTGATCTTCCTTACCTTTGATATCTAGCAGCTGTTCCTCAGACAGTGGCTGGTTATTTACTGGATCAGTCCCATTCTCTGCAATATACTTTTCAATCAGTCTTCGCTCATAAACATGATTTGAGACCGGAGACAGACAGGGATGCTCTGGTACCTCATTAGAAACTGCAAGAAAAAAGGTGGCGGTAGAGGAAAAAAATCACTAAAAGAAACATCTTCTGTAAACTGTTAAACTGCCTTTGGGTTTAAAAATATACAGAAATAACAGCAAGACTTCCCAATATATGGAAACTCACAAGATGGTTACAAACAATTAATATTCAGTTAGAATATCAAGTCCCAAAAGAAGATAACAAATCATTGATTTAATAAGATCTAAAAAAAAACTACTGTTGGAAATGTTATTCATGCAAATCAGATGCAAGGCATTTCTTAAGGTCTTAAGATGGAAATGCCATGTATCCCCACATCACAATCTGTAATTTATGCTATTATAAATGTAGTCAAACTGAGAATGTAATTGGTAGGAAAATTTAGAAACAAGATAGAGAAAAAAATAAAAATAAGAGATTAAATGTCTTTCATCTGAAAATATCTTCACTGAAAAGAAAATGAAAAGTTGATAGCAGTATTCGTGAAAAAGACCTGTGTTAATCTAAGCTAAATATGAGCAATGAAAAATCACATAGTTGCCAAAAACCTGAATGTAAGTTTAATCTGTTTTGATGGTAGTTTCAAATTAGGTTGTTACATTCTGATTCAGGTAGCTCTAAAATATTGTGTCCATTTGTGGACCCCAAAAACAAAAGATTCAAAGTAATGGCACAGGTAGAGGACAACAAGGAAATCAGAGGGCCAGAAATGCTTATGAGACACTGAAGGAATTGGATATGTTTAGCTTTGAGGGGGGGGGGGAAATAATTGGTTTAAATAATACAGGTCAAGAACTGATGCCCATCATTCCAAAATGCAGGACAAGGAATAATGATCTTAAATTGCAGAAAGGTGGATTCTAGCTGAACAGATGAATACAGGAACTAATTATTTAGAGAGGTACTGGCTCCCCTTCACTGGATTTATACTAGCAAGGGCTGGATTGTAATTTGGAATTGATGATTAATTTGCATTCTCTGTGAGGGAGATGATGGTTCAAAAATGTGAATATAACATTCCTGCACTGAGCAGATGTTTGGCCTTGATAGCTTCAATAGCCTCTTCCACTTCTATATGGATTAAGTATTTGTACAGTTCATTATAACCGAATTCAGTTTCTGCCATCAATTTAAAAAAAAAAAAACTCCCTAAGAGTTATAATTGAGACATGCAAGCCTCATCTTCATCTAGGAACTGTTCAGAGACCAGGTACCAAACTGTGAAGAAGGGTCCCCCCCCCCCCAACACTGAAACGGAATACTGAATCCGTTCTTTGGTGTCCCGTCTTCTGGAGGGGGGGGGAGAGAAAAAGGTCTTGGCTTTCTTTTCCTGTCCTGTGACAACCTCTCAGCTCATACCTAGGTCTACCTGCAGTTTACAACATTGACCATACGATCCCATTGACTGTGAACGTTACAAGCCCTCAGGCAGAGCAATACTCGGAAACTGTCATAGTTAACCACCAAAGTTGCTGCTACTGCTAAAAGGGGAGCCTGCCTCTCTCTCTCTCTCTCTCTCTCTCTCTCTCTCTCTCTCTCTCGAGCCTTCCCCCTCCGTGCGAGGCCGCAGCTGTGCGGGAAGGAAGAACAGGAGCCAAAGAGAAAGCGGGTCACTCACTGGAGCATATGAGAGACATGGCGCGCAGTATAATCCCCCCGTGGATGTTGTAATATTACAATCCTCAGTTTAATCCTTATGGCTGCTTCGGGGGCCACGAGGCCAAGGAGGAAGATTCGCCTTCCGGGAATCCGCCTCAGCTTTTTTTTAAAACGCCACCACACTGCAGGCCACGAATAGCGCGCGAACCTCCAGCGCAGGCCGGAAATGGAATTTCTCCTCTTTCTCTTTCTCAGGTCCCGTTAGAGGATCAACCCGCGCCGCGTGACCTAACCCTCCGGCGAAAACAATCTACTTCCGGATCCAGAGGACCCGGAAAAAACTACCATTCCCGTCATGCATAACGTTCGGCATAACGCGGGTCTCAAAATCAATAAATAAAAATTCACGTACCTATCTAGTCATGTATCAAGTCAGCAGGAAAAGTAACAGCAAAAGTAACCACATTACTTTTCATATGACCTTTAGATGACTTCGAAAGACTGGAATCAGCCCTTCGCTGTGTTCGAAACTGATTGTTGGCGATAGACCAAAAACGTCGATAGCATGCCCAATTCGGAGGCAGAAATTGCCATAAATAGTTGAAGATTTAGGCGACAAGAACATTTCGGAGGCTGACCATTTTCAACTTTCATCGCTGCCATAGAAACGTTTGGAAGCATTCCAGTGTTATGAGCGCATAACAAGAATGCACAGATAATTTATTTTTATGTTGCTCTTTTTCATTTACTAAGCAGATGCCTTATGCCACTTCAATTATTCCGATACCATGCACTATGCAGTACACATAATCATCGCAATCAAATACAAATAATAATAAAAGGAACCATCATATACCAGATTCAATAATCACAACCTATGGATCTCTGGCCACTCCCGCTACCCGCCCTTGGGGCAAGTTTTCACAGGCTTTCCATAAAGACAGGGAAGGCGCGGGTCTTATTTCTGAAGGGAAGGCCCTCCGTGGGAAGAGCGAACCCCCGCAGATAAGCTTAAAAGAGATTCCGTGTATTATATCTTCCAAAATAAATAATTACAGGAGTACAATTCTGAGCATGCTCCTGACTAGGATTTAAAGTTTTAAACCGTCTTCCGACGCTGCTTGGACTGCATTTCCCAGAAAGTAGTTGGACTTGGAGGCCGGAGCTATTTTTTGAATTTCTCCCGAGGGAGAGGAAAAAAAAATTTGTCCATACCGCTGGAGCTGCCATTCCACTCCTTTTCTTCAAGCTCAGGACAAGGTAACTATCCACCCAACTTTCCTCGGCGGCGGCGTCCGGTCGCCAAGCTGCGGGTCGCCTCGCCATTCTCTCCTGCATGGGATCTTCCTTTAATGCAGCTCACCTGAAGTTTGCGGGGGGGGGGGGAAGAAGCAGCTTCTCGCTTTCAGATGAGCTGACGAGAGAGTGGAGATCACCTTCTATCACGCGCTGCTCACGACGGCTGTTGCGGAAAATTTTGTGGCTTTCCTGTAGGTTGTGATTAAGCCGAGAAATGAACTTTAAAAAAAGAGAATCGGATCTTGTTCAGCTTGCTAGAAAATAAAGGTGGCGGTGGAAGCGGCGTGGATTATATACACGGGTCCTGAGATTGGTTATGCATTTGTTCTTATGTTTCTGGAAACAGGCTATAATGATAGAGACACCAAGAGTGTATAGAAGATTAATTTGGCTTGGAATTGCCTCTTTATTTGGAGTAGTTTTTTAAAATCTATATCCGGTAGTTTGCCTAGAGTAGGTAAACTCTATTTGTAGAGTTGGAAGCTTTTCCGAAGCAGACTTTAGACTTGGGAGATATGATTCGTTTTCTGGGTGAATCTGGAAATTCTGACTACTGAGGCTTGAAACAAAGCAGCAATTTGTGTAAGGGAACAGTGTGGAGTGCTTCTGAGCACAGGCTGAGCCATAGACTTTATTGTAAATACCAACAATTTCACATCCCTTGAATTCTCGATTGTTTTAATAAGAATCTGGGGGGTTTGCTGGGGAGATGCCATAATTGTGAAGCAATAGAAAATGACAATACAATCAGCATTTGCATTTACCACCAGTTACGCAATTTTGTCTTCTCTAAGCATCAAGTAATAACCTACATTTTCCATGCCGTAGTTACACCATGTTGGCTGAACAAGCACTCTGGGGAACTAATATTTAAAAGTATCTGGAAGTTCCAATTAGTGTAAACAGTTGCAGCTTGGTTGCTGTCTAGTGCTATGACATCTAAGCTGAATGATTGCTTACTGTGCCCAGTTGAAGGTGTCACCATTAACTTTTAATTCTCAAGCTGTGTAGGACCTGATTTTCAAAAGCCTTTCCTCTTACAACCCTGTCTGGGTACAAACATGGAGAGAAATATGCTTTATTTTAATCTGTTTTTTTTTAACCATACTTGCAGAAAGACAGTTGAAGACAAACACCGGAAAGATGATTGGAGGGAAACTTAACTTATGGAGTTGCCACAAGATGATGCTTACCTCATTCTTGAGCATCATTGTGTTGCTGTCTTTCATGAACACCTGTTTTGCCAGTGCCCAACACCATCAAAGATCATCTTGGGAAAAGAAGCGTGTGGAACCTGACTTTTTATTTGAAATGACTGGTACTGTAAGGAAGGCACTGGAGAATTTGATTGGTAAAGAGAACTTTCGGATGCTGAATGAGGTATGACAGCAGCGCTGTCCTTATTTTTATATATATGTGGAAAATAAGTCACATACTTATGACATGAGTGATACAATTTGGGAAAATATATAGTTACATAGTTTTCTAGGAAATTATCCAGAGATAGAACACTCAGTCATGCTGTTTAAACAAAAACTTTGTTTACCAATAGTTAGTATATAATACGTCCATAGCCTTCATATTGATTTTTGAGTCTTTTCAGTTTTTCATAGGAAGAAATATTTCAATATATTATTTCCTGAGCACTATTCAGGATTGATTTGTATCCCGTTTTTTTGTTGTTGTTTTTTTGCTTAAAATAGCTCAGCTTTTCTTTACACAGACACACAAAAGGACATAGGAAATGTCTTGTACTGCAGTTTTGGTTAGCTGATTGCAGTTTATGAACATTCTTGATGTCCCCCCCCCCAAGTGATGATATGTAATAATTTGCAAATGATATTCAACTCAGTAAATATTATATTTGCAAAGAGTTAATATAACCATAATCAATTTTAATATACGTTATGGTTTATAAATGAATTCTAAATTGTACAATCACATTCTCCTGCTGCTGCAATTCTTCTTTCCCTCTCCTCCACCATCAAATATTTTACTTGAGTCTTTTCCCTCATATTTCCTCCACAAGCGTTCATCAGCTCTTTAAGTAGGATATATTTTGAGAGTGCAGTGTACCCGAAATGTGGAAGAAAAAATATTCTCTCTCCATCTTACTCCTAAAACCCTTTTTATCTTGTGGGTGGGGGGTGTGCATGTACACACGCTTTAAAAAAGTCAGTCCTGAGCTCTGGAAACTGCCTGCAGAAGTCCCTACAGTTTTCTTGGGATGATTTTAGAACTGGTTTCTTCTATATTCAAAGGGATTCTAAACAGCTTATTCAGTATAATATATTATAATGAGTATCTAATGGATGGAAAGAAAATATAAATTGATTTGCTTCCTCACAGGAATGACAGTTTAGTTTCAGATTGTAATACAAATCATTTTCTGAACGTCAAGTCCAAATCTTATACTTCTGTTTTTTAAAGAACAGATTTTCTGCTAAGTTTTCAAACATCAGACTCCTGATTATGCCAACAGCCGAGGTGGCGCAGCAGTTAGAGTGCAGTACTGCAGGCCACTTTAGCTGACTGTGTTCAGCAGGTCAGCGGTTCAAATCTCACCGGCTCAAGGTTGACTCAGCCTTCCATCCTTCCGGGGTAGGTAAAATGAGGACCCAGATTGTTGGGGGCAATGTAAATATATATATACATTGCTTACTGGTGTACACCGCTTAGAGAGTGCTTGCACTTAAAGCGGTATATAAGTCTCATAAATAAATAAACAAAATGTGATCCACTGGAGAAGGAAATGGCAAACCACTCCAGTATCTTTGCCATGAAAACCCCATGGACAGTACTAAAAGGAAAAAGATATGACGCTGGAAGATGAGCCCCTCAGGTCGGAAGGTGTCCAATATGCTACTGGGGAAGAGCAGAGGGCTAGTACTAGTAGCGCCAGAAAGAATGAAGCGACTGGGCCAAAGCCGAAAGGACGCTCAGCTGTGGATATATCTGGTGGTGAAAGGAAAGTCCGATGCTGTAAAGATTTTTTCTCCATAGGAACCTGGAATGTAAGATCCATGAATCAAGGCAAGCTAGACGTAGTCAAAAAAGAGATGACAAGACTGAACATCGACATCTTAGGAATCAGCGAACTAAAATGGACAGGAATGGGTGAATTTAACTCAGATGACCATCAGGTATACTACTGTGGGCAAGAATCCCTCAGAAGAAATGGAGTAGCCTTCATAGTCAATAAAAGAATAGGAAAAGCAATACTGGGATACAATCCCCAAAATGACAGAATGATCTCAATTCGAATCCAAGGCAAACCATTCAATATCACAGTAGTCCAAATCTATGCCCCAACCACTGGTGCTGAAGAGGATGAAATTGACCGGTTCTATGAAGCCCTACAGCACCTTATAGAATTAACACCAAAAAATGATGTCCTTATCATCATGGGGGATTGGAATGCTAAGGTAGGAAGCCAAAAGATAACCGGAATAACAGGCAAGTTTGGCCTTGGAGTACAAAATGAAGCAGGGCACAGGCTAATAGAATTTTGTCAAGAGAATACGATGGTCATAACAAACACTCTTTTCCAACAACCCAAGAGACGGCTCTACACATGGACATCACCAGACGGTCAACATAGAAATCAGATTGACTATGTGCTCTGCAGCCAAAGATGGAGAAGCTCTATACAGTCAGTAAAAACAAGACCAGGAGCTGACTGTGGCTCAGATCATGAGCTTCTCGTTGCAAAATTTAGGCTTAAATTGAAAAAAGTAGGGAAAAGCACTAGGCCACTCAGGTATGAACTAAATCATATTCCTGATGAATATACAGTAGAGGTGACAAATAGATTTAAGGAACTGGATCTGATAGACAGAGTGCCTGAAGAACTATGGATGGAAGTTCGCAACATTGTACAAGAGGTAGCAACTAAAACCATCCCAAAGAAAAAGAAATGCAAGAAAGCAAAATGGCTGTCTCAGGAAGCTTTGCAAATAGCTGAGGAAAGAAGGGAAGCGAAAGGCAAAGGAGAAAGAGAAAGATACACCCAATTGAATGCAGAATTCCAGAGAGTAGCTAGAAGAGATAAGAATGCCTTCTTAAATGAACAGTGCAAAGAAATAGAAGAAAACAACAGAATAGGGAGGACCAGAGATCTCTTCAAGAAAATTGGAGATATGAAGGGAACGTTTCATGCAAAGATGGGCATGATAAAGGACCAAAATGGCAGAGACCTAACAGAGGCAGAAGAGATTAAGAAGAGATGGCAAAACTACACAGAAGAACTATACAAGAATGAGCTTAACATCCCAGATAACCACAATGAGATGGTCATGACCTCGAACCAGACATCCTAGAATGTGAAGTGAAATGGGCCTTAGAAAATCTGAGCAACAACAAAGCTAGTGGAGGTGACAGTATTCCAGCTGAGCTATTCAAAATCTTAAAAGACGATGCAGTAAAAGTGCTACACTCAATTTGCCAGCAAATTTGGAAAACTCAACAGTGGCCACAGGATTGGAAAAGGTCAGTTTACATTCCAATTCCAAAGAAAGGCAATGCCAAAGAATGTTCAAACTATCGCACCATTGCACTCATTTCACATGCTAGTAAAGTTATGCTTAAAATCCTACAAGCTAGACTCCAGCAGTATGTGGATCGAGAACTACCAGAAGTACAGGCAGGATTTCGAAGAGGCAGAGGAACTAGAGATCAAATTGCCAACATACGCTGGATCATGGAGAAAGCTAGGGAGTTCCAGAAAAACATCTACTTCTGCTTCATTGACTATGCAAAAGCCTTTGATTGTGTGGATCACAACAAATTGTGGCAAGTTCTTAAAGAGATGGGAGTACCAGACCATCTCATTTGTCTCTTGAGAAACCTATATGCGGGTCAAGAAGCAACAGTGAGAACTGAACACGGAACCACTGATTGGTTCAAAATTGGAAAAGGAGTCCGGCAAGGCTGTATACTGTCGCCCTGCCTATTTAACTTATATGCAGAGCACATCATGAGAAAGGCAGGGCTAGATGAATCAAAAGTTGGAATTAAGATTGCCGGGAGAAATATCAACAACCTAAGATATGCAGATGATACCACCCTAATGGCAGAAAGTGAAGAGGAACTAAAGAGCCTCTTGATGCGGGTGAAGAAGGAGAGTGCAAAAGTTGGCTTGAAACTCAACATTAAGAAAACCAAAATCATGGCATCCGGCCCTCTCAATTCCTGGCAAATAGATGGGGAAGAAATGGAGGTAGTGACAGATTTTATTTTTCTGGGCTCCAAGATCACCTCAGATGGGGACTGCAGCCAAGAAATTAAAAGACGCTTGCTCCTGGGGAGGAAAGCTATGGCAAATCTAGACAGCATTCTAAAAAGCAGAGACATCACCCTGCCAACAAAAGTACGCATAGTCCAGGCCATGGTTTTCCCAGTTGCAATGTATGGCTGTGAAAGTTGGACCATAAGAAAGGCTGAGCGCAAAAGAATTGAGTCCTTTGAACTGTGGTGCTGGAGAAGACTCCTGCGAGTCCCTTGGACTGCAAGGCGCTCAAACCGGTCAGTCCTAGAAGAGATCAACCCCGACTGCTCTTTAGAAGGCCAGATCCTGAAGTTGAAACTCAAGTACTTTGGCCACTTAATGAGAAGGAAAGATTCACTGGAGAAGAGCCTAATGCTGGGAAAGATTGAGGGCAATAGAAGAAGGGGACGACAGAGAATGAGATGGCTGGATGGAGTCACTGAAGCAGTAGGTGTGAATTTAAATGGACTCCAGAAGATGGTAGAGGACAGGAAGACCTGGAGGAATGTTGTCCATGGGGTCGCGACGGGTCGGACACGACTTCGCAATTAACAACAACAAATAAATAAACATATGCTCCCAATTCAGTGTAAGCTATTCCAAAGTTCAAAAGTAATGTCATAGCTGGTGACCGTATTTTGTATAAATTACATGAAAGGATTTCCCCATAGCCTTAGAATAGTATCACAAAAACCGCCTGGCTTTTCTGACCCCACTTGGTTGAGAATGAAGTAGAGTTTACAGGGGAGAAACCAATGCAGATGGAGTTCTGTGAGAATAAGGTCTCAGTTCTGCAAAATCCTTTTGAGTATAAAAGCTTGTGATCGTTCGTCTTTCACAGACACTTTCACTGCATAGATGGTGGGAGAATGAAACTGGTGGGGAAAGCATTGCCACGCCAATAACTTTGTAAAAGCCATTTATACTTTTTTAAAGTATGCTGGGCAGGATAGATGTCTTATCCTGGAAAGGTTTCCTTTGGATTTCAGCCTACTTCTATTTCATTCTCCAATGGCTCCGATACTTTTAGTGGCTGGTATCTTCAAATCTGCTACTATATCAGTCAAGCAGGCTCTTAGTTTTCTGCATGATTCCTAACTCTTTTTGCCATTCAGAGCACATGTGCTTTTATGCTTTCCATTTGGTTTACAATTTTAGTCATCTGTTAAATCTGCACCTTATTATCGCTGCTCGATTTAATCCCAACTCATTTCAGCACTGGAGGGAGCTGCAGCCCTACTATTTGCTATGTGGCCCAGGCGATCCCCTTTATGGTAGATTGACATGTATTTTTTATTTGGTCTCCTTGCAGAATATGTCTAACCTGCTTTGGATAGTTTCCTCTGGAATCTCTTCAGCCTTATCTGTTGTGGCTCGAATTGTAGGACAGTTTCTTACATCCTTTGGATTGGCTGGTAAGTAACCAGGTTATTGGCATAGTGGGGGGGGGGAGATGCAAGTTAACAGAAGAAGTTAAGCATGCTGCAATCTAACAGTTATCAGGGGACACAGTCCTATTCTTACTTTAGTCCCCCTTTCAATTTTGTGGAATTGTCTTCCAAGTAAGCAAAGGAAGGATTGTGATATTAAATGTGTGCCTAAACTGAATCACTACTGAGTGGGAATCAGCATGCTTTTTTTTGCAGCAAAAGCCCATCTGGTTTGGTTCCTATTAATCTTAGACTAGTAATGTACCGTAGCATGTGTATTGTTGTTAGTATTCATTCAGAAAGTTATTAGTTTCTTCAAAGAGGTAAAACCAAACTCCTAGCGATCAGAAGATACCCATGTGGTTTTCTTGGTGACAAGATACTATTCATCTTCCTGATAGCCCTTTCTTTAACAGTTCAATCCTGGGTAGTTTTTTTTTTGAGAGAAACCCAAGTTGAGCCATTTAAGTTTGCTACTAAGTATTCCCAAATCTTAAGCTATCTTGGGAGCTTTTGGGGTGGCCTAGCCATTCCACTGGTAAATCCCATGCCTTTCTCTGGTTGCCATTTTTTTATATACCTTTCTGCTAATCTGGAAGAAAAGCCTTTTTCTTCCCTCCCTATAGGCTTTCTTACTGACATCCTCAATGCTTTTCTTTTTGGAAAATGTGTTGCTGACCAGTTATATGGCTGAGAATGTTACATTGGCATCTTTTTGCCTTCATCATAAATGCACTTTGTCCTGAGTCCGTGGGGGGGGGGGGCATTTTCCAGTAGGAAAGGTCCACTGGGTTTAGCAGAGTCAGTTTCCAAATACAGGATGCTCAGGATGTAGTCTTGTGTCTTTTCTGAACTGATAATGTATCTAAAAATATATTTAAATATGAATATGTCTATTGCAAAAACAATACTATACCCTGCCCAGATCGATGAAATTAAAGGTAACTTTGTTGACATTTGTATATCTCAGAAAAGCCAATTTTGGTTTATTATAAATGAGCATGATTGCTAATAATTTGATGCATCTTAGCTCTTTCTCATCTCAGAAATAACAAAGTACACCCAGCAATCTTCATGATTTATTCAGCATTATATCAGAATTAAGGTCTGTGATTGGTTCCTCCATAACAAGTTAGAATCTGAAGTTAAGAACAAACATTGGCTTGCTATTCTCTTGTAACGGTTGAGATTTTGTTATGGGAGTAGGTTTATAGTACTGGACTTTAGTCAAATTAGAGTTTGAGTTCATTAAAGCTTTCAGTTAAAATTAGTGCCAGGATAGTGTCTGAGAGCACTGTTTTATGCCTTAGATTTAGATTACAGTTGAGATTTTTTTAGAGATTCAGTTTACAGTATTTATTTGCACTGGAATTATGGTAAACTTAAGGTATGGAATGTTTAAGGTTACATTGTAAGTATTACTATAAGGGCCAGTATTAGCATTTTTATGGTTAGCTGTAATTGTCATAGCACGTCCTGCTATGTAGCCCCTTTGGGGCAGTGGCAGGATGTTTCTGGGAGGGATGCCAATGTAGCAGGAATATTTTCTTCCAGGAGGGTCACCCAAGACATGGTGGTCATGCCAGCTGCCCAAGAGATAATATCAAAATCCTGAATGAGTTCTGAAGGCTGGAACTGGCTGGAGAGGAACAGACTCACTCTCAGTCCTGACAAGATCAATTAGCCTTGGTCTTAGATAGGTTGTACCTTCACAAGACTGTTGTGCTATCTAGGGATTGCCCTGAACTTTCAGCTGGGAATACAGATGGAAATTTTATGACAATAGCAAAGGCATCATTTCATATTACAGTATGCAGGAGAAGGCAATAGTAAATCACTCCTGTATTTTTTTTAACAAGAAAATCACATGGCTAGACAATATAATGTGATTGATAATATAGCACTGGGAGATGGGCTCCTCAGGTCGCATGCCATTCAACATGCTAAAGAGGAACAGCACAAAGAAATCAAATTGATTATGTTTATGAGACAAAAAGGTGAAAGAGTTCAGTTATAATAGCAAAGACATGGCCAGAGGCTGACTGAAACAGATTTGAACTGCTCATATTTAAATTTCAAGTAAGCTAAAATGGAAGAACAAAGCCAACTGGTTTCTATGATATGTTCCTGAAAGCTAATCCTTTTCAAGAATTCCAGGAATCTCTTTGATGTCCTGGACTTCACTGATAGGGAACTAAAGAATGAAATCAAGTAAATTGCTAGGGGTAAATGTGTAAAGAAGCTGCCTAAGACCAAAAACAGAGGAAACCAGTGTCAAAAGAGTAAAATTGACAAGTCAAAGCCAATAAAGATATTACTGTATCTCAGAACAAACTTAACAGCTATTAGAAGATATAACAACATCCGTGAAGAGATTAAAAGTAGAAATAGCAAAACCAAGGAAAGTCTTGATTTCTAAATGCAGGAGATTCCAACCATGAATTGGTATGATGTGGTAGTACTTACTGTACCACTAATTTTTAACTGTAGTCCTTGATGATTAACACTAATCTTAACACTAGCTTAATCTTATCTCCCATGCAAATATGTGCTGTAAAATCCATACTGCTTCTATAGGCTTTTTTTTTTCTGTAGCCTTTTGGAACCCCCCCCCCCAGGGCAAGGGATGTTTTATCTTTAATCTAAATGGGATTACACTTTTTCTTTTGGGATTGATATGCAAGTTGGGGGTCTTGTTGGACTCACAGCTCCTGCTCAACATTGTGTGGGTTGAACAAGTAGAAGCCAAGGCTAAGAAAGCCTTTCAACAATTCCATCCTGTGTGCCAATTGTGTCATTACCTGGACCAGGAGACCTTTCAGACAGTCACTCACAATTTGATTACCTCACATATGAATTACCACAATGTACTCTATATGAGGTTGCTCTTAGAAATTATTTGAAAATTGCAGCTGGTTCAGAATGTGGTGGCAGATCAATTATGGGCATAACTTATAAGTCTGTGTAATACCTTTGCTCCTTGAATTGTACTGATTGTCAGTAGACTTCAGGACACAATTCAAGGTGCTATAAGCCCTCCATGGCATAGGTTCTTGTTATCTAAAGACCATCTGTCTTTGGTGACCTCTGCCCAGCCTCTATGATTGGACAGAGTTGCCATGCTAAAGATCCCATCCACAAAGCAGTGTCATTTGATAAGACCTAGGAAGTGTGCATTGTTTGTTGCTACACTGTTCCCCCCCACCCACCCCAGAGTTATGTGGCTCCCACCCTGCCTTTGTTCCAAAGAGTTCTGAAAACATGACTTTTTTTCCCCCGGCTTTTGGTTAGAGTAAGAAGCTGGTCTTGTGGGTCTGATTGCCTTTCAATGTTTGCTTGTCTACCAGAGTTTAAAAGTATATTGTATGATTATTTTTACTGTATGTCAGCCAGATATGGGATAGTACCCTAATCCTTATAAATTTCAAAAATGAACTCATATAAATCTTAAGACTTGTTCAGATATGAGGTTAATCATTCCATGGATTGAAATGTCCTTGAGTGTTTGCATCAGTGCTGAGAGGGGAGCCAACGGACGCCCCACCCTCCTTGTTCACAATGAGTCAAAGAAGCAGCCCAAAGCTTAATAGGCAAACAAAGATTTATGCCCATAAAATGCCCGCCTGCTGCTCTGTGCATACTGGAATTAAGCTACACCACGAGGTAAGAAAGGAGGAATTTGTTTGAACTGTAATACTTAACACTTGAGTGTAAGTAGCTAGTAAGCATGTTTCTTTCCTGCATGCAATAGCACTTCCTCCTAAACTACCGGAGAGGTAGACCATCCTGGCGGAAAATTTGACTTAATTCACCTGGGGTATCACGTGGGAAAGACTGCCGTAGTGCTACATTGGACTGAACATATTGCTATTTTCTTTTTTTGTTTCAGGAGATGGATTAACACAGTTTCTGAAACTGAGCCCTGACCAGGTTCAGGCACTGCTGCTCTGGAGCCTGGCTGCCCTGATTAGCTATTGGGTGCTCTCACTGCTGTTCAGCCTGTTGCTCACTATCTTGAGCCGCATCATGTGGAGCCTCAAGTTTCTTCTCTTTGGAGGCTGCTTTGCATTTATTGTGTTTACCGTGCCTGACCGTCAGGTACAGGTTTTACTTCTATTGGCCTTGCTGACTCTCTATGTCTTGCTGGGTTGGTTGAGTGGATCCTATCGCTCTGGTGCAAGGCTGGAGGCTAAAGTGCACAGCTTGGAGCGCCAAGTGGAGGAACTGCAACGCCGGCAGAGACGGTCTCCCCGATATCTGGATGAAGAATAAATTTCAGGCAGGGGGCTGACCACATTTCCTCCAAGAAGCAGCTGCATTTCCCTCCTCCTCTATCCCTTACATTACTTCTTTTTCAGTCTGTCGATGTTCCTGGATGGTATCTTTTCCACCCACTACTATTTAGGAGGCTGGAAGTCCTCCCTAAGAAAATGATTGCACCTGACCTACTATAGCTTTTCAGTTGGTAGTGACATTTAGAAAAGCTCTTTCTCTACTTTTGTCTCGTTCTTTTCGTTCCCCTTCTCGGGCCTCCTTTTCCTCACTCTGTTTTTCATTTGACTCACGGCAGCTTCTTTAAAGACAACGGGCCTGGTAACGAACAATGCTTATTTCTTACAAGAAAAAAAAAAGCAAACCAGAATTTCATGATTGGGGATAAGAGAATGAGAATTTACACAGTTCACCACCGGCCCTTGGACATGATTATTCTACACTATCATGCTCATATTTATAAAACTCAGTGCCTCTGGGAAAGTTAAGGATGACTACTCTGTTTGTGGTGCTCCATGCAGCAATCAGAACATTGTGCATGTTGAAGTTGTTTTAATACAAGCCAAAGATGCCTTTTAAAAGCAAGTTTACATCATTTTCTTATGCATGCCAGTGCTTTGTGTGAGATAATTTAAGACGGTTCTGACAAGTGGTGTTTACCTGCTGATCCAGAACAGAGATAAGCCATAAACAAACAATCAAGGGAATATACACAGGCCTTCCCTCCAAATTGAATTTATACTGCAAGTAAGCAAAACCATAAATTCAGACTTCTTTGCCTATTGGAGAATGTACTGTTGTTTACAGTACATATAAGAAAATGTACTGTTAACAACATATTGTTTGCCTTTATATATATATATTTTAGATAATTTGAATAGTTTGTTACTGTTTTCCAAATAAAAGCTATCTAATCACATCCCATTGTCCTTGGCTGCTTTTTCAGGTCCTAAAGGGAGGAAATACACAGGTATGTAAGCTGGATTCAAAAAGGATTGTGGATATACAGATTTATATTGGTATCTTTTTCCTCAGTGCAGAATCTTGTAGAGTGAACTTCTGACGATGGGGGAAGATAGTGGTTTCTAGTTTGACTTGACAAAAAAAACATTTTTTTCAACAATTATGCTACAGCCATACATACCTTTTGCACACCCTGAGATTAGATAGAATTGGAATGGGGTGAGGATCACCTTTCAGGGTAAATCTGTTCCATGTACAGGGTAAATGTAATCATCATCATCATCATCATAGGCGCCTGGGGTGCAATCCCAAAACAACTGGAGCACCACTTGAACACCATTGGCATTGACAAATTTGCTATTAGTCAATTGCAAAAGGCGGCCTTACTAGGAACTGCTTCCATCCTGCGACGATATCTGCAATACCATCAAACCTCCACATCTGCCTATCCCAGGTCCTGGGTAAGGACTCCATAGGTAGACAAAATGCCAAATCCAGTCTAAACATCTGGCTGACTGTGCGATGATCAATAATAATAATAATAATAATAATAATAATAATAAAGTTGGAAGGGACTTGGAGGTCATCTAGTCCATACCATTTCAGACAAATGGCTGTCCAGTCTCTTCTTAAAAACTTCCAGTGTTGGAGCATTCACTGCTTCTGGAGGCAGGTTGTTCCACTGGTTAATTGTTCTCACTGTCAGGAAGTTTCTCCTTAGTTCTAGGTTGCTTCTCTCCTTGATTAGTTTCCATCTGTTGCTTCTTGTCCTGCCTTCAGGCACCTTGGAGAATAGCTTGACTCCCTCTTCTTTGTGGCAGCCCCTGAGATACTGGAACACTGCTATCATGTCCCCACTCATCCTTCTCTTCATTAAACTAGACATACCCAATTCCAGCAGCCTTTCCTTATATGCTTTAGCCTCCAATCCCCTAATCATCTTTGTTGCTCTTCTCTGCACTCTTTCTAGAGTCTCAACTTCTTTTTTACATCATGGTGACCAAAACTGGATGCAGTATTCCAAGTGTGGCCTTACCAAGGTATTGTAAAGTGGTATTAATGTCTCACATATTAGGTGGGGGTATAAGCATGCAATCACAATACAACATCATACAGTAATAGCAACAGCACTCAGACTCATATACCACTTCACAATGCTTTACAGCCCTCTCTAAGTGGTTTACAGAGTCAGGTCTGCTCATTTTATACAGGGTCATTCTATGAAATATTCAAGGAAGTTTATTTTTAAGAAGCTCTCCAAAGACTTTTTGTACTAGTGTGTAACTTTTCACTAAGCCTGTGCCATTGTGTAATGCAGGCTAAATATTATGGGCTGTCTGTACAGGTAGTCCTTGGCTTACGACCTCAACTTGATTTACGACTTCAATTTCTGTTATTAAATGAGACATTTTTTAAAGTGAGTTTTGCCTCATTTTACGACCTTTCTTACCACAATTGTTAAGTGAATCACTGCAGTTGGTAAGTTATTACCCTGTAATTAAGGGAATCTGACTTCCCTTAATTGACTTTGCTTGTTAGAAGGTTGCAAAAGGTGATCACGAGACCTTGGGACACAGCAACGGCTCATAGATTCCCTTATCTGAGTCAGAAGGGCCCAAATGGTAGTAAGCAGACTTGATAAAGAGAAGGAAATGGGTACAGCAAATTTCAAGCCGGTATCATTTTCTACCAGTTCAAGACTAGATGGAAAGCTCTGCTCAGCAATGGGGAAGACTCTTGAGTGTCTTTATACTTTGTCTGCGTGAAAGAAAATATGTTTTGTGGCAAGAAATATAACTAGTAGCTCTGCTGTTCTTTGATGAGTAAGAGGAGACAATCTCTAGAGCAGTGTTTCTCAACCTTGACAATTTTAAGGCATGTGGACTTCAACTCCCAGAACTCCACAGCCAGCATGCCTTAAAATTGTCAAGGTTGAGAAACACTGCTCTAGAGTGAACTGATTTCACATCCAAAAATGGAGCAGTTGGTTTGATGAAAACTTCAAATGGTTAAAAACTGCCGGCCCATAAATAGAGCTCATTTATCTTGATGGTACTTTATTCCAAGAAGCTAATGTATGATTCACTTTAGCCATTCATAATTTTGCCTCGGCAAGCTAAAGACACTAATTGCTCTATTGTTCATTTCTCAAGCCAGCCTCATTCATTGTTAAGTAACAGCTTCTTTGTCATGGTTGTTAGTTTATTAATATAAATTTTATTTACAGGCTACTTTAAAACGTCTGTTGCTAGTCGTGCCAGTGCAAATAGGTCATAGCGGTGATCAAACCACATTCTTAAGCTTGTTATAATAAAGCAATAATTTTTTTCTGTGATTCATATTAGAAAATGTACTGTAACCTGCTTATATAGCTGCACCAGCTAATACCTCTGAGCCTTGAAAGCCTAATTTGTCATACAAGCTCCAACAGAAAAGCTGTCAAGAAGCATAGATGGCTTCTCCCTGTCTGTATCAGAGCTGGTAGCCCTGGGGCCAGGCAGCTCAGGTTTTGCTGTGGAGGAGCAGACCTCTCTCTTTAGCAATAAATTGCTTATTCCCTCATCCAAATTCAATCTCTGCCTCTTGTTATTCTCCTGACTCTAATGGGGCCAGATCTATCTACTACTGTAGTCAAGTAATCACCAACTGCTGAAAGAACGATTTCAGAATTAATTAACTAGAGGTCAGAGAAAAATTCCAGAAGGTCTTCTTCAAGCTTGGAACCAACAAACAAAATAGCAATGCTTTTTAAAAATGGCATCTAGCACTGTTGTACCGCTTCCAAATACAACACATCTATAATTTCTTATAATCTTTACAAAAACCCTGTAAATAAATTGGGAACTATGCTTTCTTTATTTCAGGAGAAGATAAGTTGAAAATGAAAATGAGAGTCTGGATGCCATTTAGTGGAGAACACAGTAGATATGAATTATTAACTGGGGACTTCCAGATTTGTACCTCAGCCTCTAGGCCAGGGGTCCCCAACCCCCGATCCATGGATCAGTACTGGGCCGCAGCATGCCAGCAATCGGGCCGCACAAACAAGGAAAGCCCCATCCACGCCCTCTCCGGTCCATGGAAAAACCTCTCTCCACGGAACCAGTTCCTGGTGCCCACAAGGTTGGGGACCTCTGCTCTAGACTGCTAAACCCTCACACATCAATTCTTCTACCAAGAAGAACATGATCAGAAACATAGGATATTTATCTCCATTTTCTAAGAATAGAGGCTTAGGTTCATGCCGTCCATAAATCAATTTCATAATCAGCAAGAAATGTTATGATCTGCCTATTTATTAGATACCACTGTATCTAATATATAGGGACATAAGAGAAGTGATATTTATAGTACCTAAATGATTAATTGTGTAATTTCACTAATTCTATATCATATTGGCCACTTTAAATAACAATAATGTGGGTAATGAAAAAAAGTTTGGCTTATATTATTATAAGCATGGAGTAGGATTGGACTCATCATAGAAGGCAACAGCTTGGCTAACTTAATAATATTTAACTGTAGCCCCAATTTTATGAAAATTCTATGTTTCTCTTTAAAAATGGAGTTGTGAGTGAGTGGAAGTCACCACATGGAGGTCGAGCTTATTCTGCTTGGCATTTACAAGTAGATAGTTTATTTTCACCTATGGGCCAAGTTTTGAAGAACATCATCCATTCATAAATTTCATATGTTAAACATTCATGTTCTTCTTATGGATTCTTGGAAGCGTGTACTGATGAGTTTACCATATCAGACAATGAAATGTCTGCAAGCAAACTCCCAAATCCAAGAAGTCTAGAGTTCAACCCTGAGGTAGATATATGATATATATTGTTAGATTCATGTTCTTCCATTTTTATCAGGACAACTACTTGGTTTTTATTTAATTAAATATGATTTTTTTAAAAAACAAGTCTTTTCCTAATGTTGGGTTGGGACTACAGCTCTCAGAATTCTTAGCCAGCATGCTGGCTGAAATGCTAAATCAAGCTCAACTCTTTATTAGTCAGATACAATATTTAAGCTCCTCTCATTAGACACTAACTTAACTCCACATTTGTTTTTTATTGAATAACATTCTCTGTCATTGATAAAATCCAGGCAACTTGGCTATTTGAAACTATTATTTGATTAGAATGTGAAATGTCATAATTATGCATTCTATTTCTAAATGGATTACAGATGCAATTAAGCAAAAGAAACCCTGCAACAATAACATGCCAAAGGTATAAATGAGCTCTGTCGTAAGTTGTATTCTTATAAGGGGTGACGGCAAACTTTGGCTACAACAAGTCTTTGTTGCAATATATATATATATAATTATACACACACACACACACACACTCACAAAATAGTCAGGACGTTCATTTGCTAAATGCTGCAATTTTTTATTTGTGTCAACATTAAGCATCATCCATTTACATTTGTTCTTTTCTACCATTTTTGAATTTCATTCCTTTCAGTCAGCTTTTAGCTTTTAACCTTGCATTTAACAGACATTTTACCTTCTGCAGCACTAAATTATTCACTTCACTCCTCTTGTTCTGACTTCTAATTATTTATCTTTGTTAATGATTTCTTATGTTTTGTAGATGCAGACTTTTTTATTGCTTTTATAACCTCTCATTTTCCCCCCTTTCTCTTTCTTCTAGAGCAACCTTTCTTTGCTTTTTCAATTCTCCTTCAAGAATCTAGGTTTGAGGTTGTTCTGACAATTGACTATTTTACTGTTGGTCAGACTCACCAAGGATATTCTGTTAAAAGCAATTTGATATGATACAATAAATGCTGTGCTCTACATCAATCCAAAATTAATTTGCAATTAATAAAGCACGAATTCTGTTGGCTGCAAAGGCAAACTTAGCAACTGGCTTGTGTTATCTTCGTGCCTTTGTTTGCAAGAAGGAGATTTACATGAAATTAATCCAGTCATTGGGGAATAACTTAATGAAGGATGTTAAGAGCTTGCTACCCATATCTCTATAGAAGCTACAACAGAGTACAGTAACACAATGATTCGATATTCCCAGACTGACGGGGGGGGGGATTCTAAAACTTGCCCTCCAGGATAGCTGAGGGCAGATATAAAAAAGAATAAAAGCCTTACTATAGCCTAACTGTAAGCTGGTTATAAAACTGAACCAATGTTTCTGTTTCTGTTTGCAATTCTGCATCTAGGCTCCCTTAGTCTAAGAATGGCCAAAGCCTGCTCTTGTTCCATTGTCAATGATGCCAATTTCTAAACTCCATATCCATTTTGCTAATTCCAGATGGGTTGGAATTGCCTAACAAAATAAGGAAGGTCATGGTAAGAAGTGTGTGTGGGGAGGTTTATTTTGTGGAATTTGTTCTACCTAGAACCTGCAAAGATGTCTCCACAAAGTCACCTGGAGCAAAGTTCAGTCTGAGGGAGACTTCATCTCCAAAACTGTGTGCAAATGATTTGACCTTAGCCAAACACTCCACCATACTGAACTACTTGGCCTGATGAAGCATTCAGAAGATCTTAACAGTTTGCACACTATTTTTTATACTTTTAGTTAGGATCACCAGGTGACAACAAAGAGACAGAGAAAGCTCTATGGCACCTCCTAGTGGTTCTCCAGATTTTTACAACCCAGACAGAGTAGCTTTCATTTTGGTTGGACCTAAGAAATTTTGGCTCATCTGTGGATATTATTATTGTTGTTGTTGTTGTTGTTGTTATTATTGTTATGAAACAATACTGCTTCCTGGTTTTCTCCAATTCTCCCTCCTTCTCTCCCTTCCACTAAAAAGATGTTAACGATGTAGCTTGCACTATATGTTCCAATCATAATTCAGAAGACATAAGCTATTTGAAAGCAATGGACTTTGGCATGCTTTAAGTAGTAGTATGAAAGGCCAACATCCCACAGTTCCTCTCCTCCAATTGGCGGAGTGGGATAGATGCCTTAGGTGGAGAAGGGTAGATGAACAAGGAAGAGAGCACTGAAACCTTCCAGAATGGGTGGGGGCCTATTCAGTCCCTCCCCTCCAGGTTATTCAGTTGCCCTCTGGCTGGTCTTTGTAAGCAAGAAAGGAGGTAGTAGAACTTCTCATGGCTAGCCCTGTAGCCTTTATGTTTTTATTGTATCTGAGACAGTAGGATTAAAGTTGTCAGTCAAAATTTAATAAATGCTATGCTATAAGAGAGAGAGGGTGAATATGAGATCTGAATGGCCCTTAGGTTGAAAAATATGCAGATAAGTCTTTCTGCTACTATCACTCTGCTCTCTTTGCAGCTGGTTCAGGGAAAAAGCATCTGCTAGAAGCAGCAGAAATGAGGTATGCTAATTTGGCCTGTGTGCTGGGCACTTCCTTAATGTAAGTATTCAGAAATAAATCCCAGCCTAGGTAAACAAAGCTGCCTGGATGTGTGAATCCCTGATACGGCAACTGTATTCATTATTAAGTGAGCAAATAGTGCATACCTAGGAGCCTGGGAGTCAGCAAGGAAGTTGTAGCAAGCAACAATCACAGTCAAGGTTTTCTGCTGTCACGACTGTCATTCTGGATGGTTTAATAAGCAAATGGGAAAAGATCATCTTTTTACAAAGCAGAAAACATTCTAAATTTCTTCACTTGATATTTCAGTGTGTTTGACAACGCAAGATTTTGGATAGAAGCTTAGTTAGAAATCATGCATTCAAAACTAATATTAACAGATTAAAAAACAAGTCAGATAGTATCACTGGCTAGGTTCATCCATTATGCCAAATGTACATGCATACACATACACACAAGCATACTCTTTGGCTGAAACTAGCTTTGTGGACCCAGCCACTGTGGTTAGGAAAAAGTGGTTTTTGTCTGGTTTATAAACCAGGTTATAATGCGTAACATTGCAATTAGATGGCATCTCCTTTGAGTCAAGCTAGATTTCTAGCAGCTTCATAAACATGTCCAGTTTCCTTGGTAAACGATGTTACATTGAGTAAAGACTACAATCAGTTTAGTCCAGTGGTTCTCAACTTGTGGGTCGGGACCCCATTTGGGGTCGAATGACCATTTCATGGGGGTCGCCAAACAACGCAGTCCGCCATTTTTTCCCCTTTTCCTTAGCTGTGCTACTCCCTTTTATTCTATTGGCTTTTGAAAGCCAATAGAATAGATTCTCTTGAATAGAGTCTAATTCTATTGGCTTTCAAAAGCCAATAGGAATTGTCCAGGCTGCCTCTGCCCTGCTGAGCCCACCAAAAGTCCCATTCTGCAAACGGTGCTGCACCAGTTGAGTAGTCCTCGACTTACGACCGGTTGGGTAGTCCTCGACTTACGATCGGTTGGGGGTCGTGACATTACAAAGGTTGAGAACCACTGGTTTAGTCCTTATTGGGACTCTTGAGACACAGACATCCTCCATACTAGACATTCTACATTCAACAAGGATTTGAACATATAGATTTTGCACTTGATGACTTTATAGTATATTTAGCTTTAGAGATAGCTTTTGGCCTGGCTGTCAATAGCTTGAGGGAAGGAAACTTATAGAAACTATGCAGGTACACTTCCTTTTTAAATCTCTCTACACTCTCGTACTAGAGAAAGTTTGGATTTTTCTTGATCAAGAATATAGAAGTTATTTGCCATTGTGTTTTTCTGGGATGTGTGGAATCAAATGTAGGACCTAAAGCCAATAATCAAGGCTTACTACAGTGTTTATTAGACAGCACATGCTGGTGGAACTCTCTTCGAAGAATATTGAACAAAGGATGCACTCCTATTTGTACATTTCAGAAAGGCAAGAGAGACTAATGCTTAAGCAATACATGTTCGTAGGTAGAGGATATCAAGTTACTATAAGTAATGGGCTGTTAGTCACTTCCTGTGCCCATTTCCCTTCAGAAACCAAAAGGGAGGAATAAAGCAGTAAAACATTAAAACAGGGAGGAAAATATCTCCATAAATCAAGAACACAGGTCAGTTTGGGGATTCCAGACATAAAATAAAAAAGTTCTCATTGCAAATCTATGGGATTGTTCTAATGAGGCGATGGCCTTATATCTGTATATATCAACTTGATTTAACTGATTTCATTCATCAAAGGACTGATTTTCCCCATAGATGTTTTACTGATTTCTGAGTCTGGGTCGTGATATTTCCTAGTGGCCTCTCATTCAAGTACTGAAGTTAGTTCATCCTTATTGTCAGCAGACAATGAGAGTATATGATTGAGGTAATGGAGCTGAACAAGGGACTTCCCAACTCACCTTAATTGTATCAACTCTCAGTTGAACCAACTGAAAGGGATCCCATCTATCGTTAAGTGAAGTGAATGAGCAGCTTCCCCCCATCTGCCAACTCCTAGAATTAAAGAGTGAGTTGAAACACTCAGGTTATTGAATTGAAGAATTTCCTGACTTTCATGGTATGATGTTTTAGTGGGCCATTTTAATCTCCCCAGATCTGTTTTGATTTAACATGTTTATCATGAAGCCAGTCTATTGTCTTTGGTTTAACAAACCATAATTTAGGACAATAATTGAAACATTGCCACTACGTTAAATATGCAATTTCTTTTAATGACTATTTTGTAAAAACAGCAACCCAGCAATGTAAATGCACAGTGCATTCAAGGAAGGAAATCATAGGAGGAAACTTCCTACAAGCTACATCAAAACCAGATTAACATACATTATTATGTAGTGTATTGTGCCAAACCAGTGAATTATTATTATGTATTGCTAGGACGCTAAAGACCAGTCTTATCCAACTTAATGCCCTCCAGACATAGTGAGGTTCATGATACATAATCCATATTAGTAAGAATTACAAGAGCAGCAGTCTCAACACATCTAAACGACTTCTTCACCTTGAGAAAGGAGGGAGGAATTTCCAAATTTCACTGCAACGGGAACATCCCAGTTGCTGATGATCTTTCTTGATTTAGGAAAAGAGCGGCTTTGCAAAGGACAGCTTGGGGTCCATTGTTGTTATTGTTCTTCAGCCATTCAGTCGCTTCTGATTCTTTGTGACAGACGGGCATCATTTCGTTAGAACTGTCTGTCAGTAAAGTCCTCTTTCAGTTCTTGCAAGCTCCTGCTTAGAACATGAGAGTATCCAGACATCTGTTGGTCTTTTTTTTTTTAATCACAAGTGATATTTTTTTCCCCCATAGACGCGGCTCTTCTCTTTACTTTCTCTCTCCTTTTCTGCCACCGTCGCCGCGATCCCGCCTGGCTCCGATCGCAATCCATTTCTGCCCAAGCCGCTGGCCTCGTCCCGGGGAGGCGCGGCAAACGGGACGGCTGAGTCTCCTCGGCTGTCAACAGAGGCGTTCTAGGACCCAGCAGGCATCCGGGCAGGAGCGGAGGCTCCGCTCCCCTCCTCCGCTCGCCTATCTCTATTGTCTGAGTAGCCTGGCTGCGGCAGCAGCAACATCTACAGCTTCAGCAACTATCGGGACGGACTGCGTTGAGCGACCGGGGCAGCGAGGGGAGGACGCGCACCGACCGGCGCTTACCCGAAGCCGAGTTCTGCAACCGCGCCGGACAGCCAGGTCCGGCGGGGATGGACCTGCGTCCGGCAGCAGCGCGAGTGGGCATCTGAGCGGAGGGAGAGAGGCGGGTCGGGTCCGACAGAATGGGCTCCAGCCGCGCCACCCCCGGGCTCCGGCTGGTCTTCGCGATTCTTTTCCTGCGCGCTCCCAGAGGTGAGTCCCGGTTGTTAGTCTGGCTGACGGCGGTGGAAAACTTCCTAACCTTAAGGGGGCCGATCCTTCCTCGGGAAGGTTTCTTGAGTTCGGGTTCCGGCAGAAGAAGTGTGTGTGTGTGTGTGTGTGTGTGTGTGTGTGTGTGTGTGTGTGTGTGTGTGTGTGTGTGTGTGTGTGTGTGTGTAAAGGGGGAGTCTCTTGTTCCGACGGGAATCAGCCAATTTGGATCTTCGGATCTCGGCCACCTCTGAGACTTGTTGGGTAAGGGAATCCCTTGGCTTCGGCTCCCGAAAACTATCCCGCGTTCCCAGGTGATCACCATGGAAACACTGAACCCATTTGCGCGGCGGCGGTGTGTGTGTGTGAATGTAGACTGAGCAGCTGGGGCTCTCCGCCGTGGGCTCCCCCTCTCGGACTCCTGGGCACGGATCATAAAGAAGGGGCCCTCCGGCGGTTTGCCAAAGCCCAGAGGTTTCCCCGCGGTGTTTTTTTCAGGTTGGACCTCCCCCCCCCCCGCAACCTGTACATCCCCCGATGCTGCGGGATTTTTAATTCTTTTCCCCAGGCAAGTTCCCGCCACCTTCTTTACCTGCCGTCGCGGGTTTTCCCGAGAGCGCTGTTGAGAGCTTGGAGATACAATTCCCTCACCTGCAAGACGGGGTTAAATTTACCTTGAAAGGCAAAGGAGACGTTTGGGATCTCTATGATTCAATTAGCTTCCGTAGTCCACGCCTCCCCCCCCCACCCCCCTTTCAGCAGGGCAGGGTCAATCCCCGTGGAGAGACTCCCTCCTCCCTCCTCCCAGTCTCGAAGAAGGGAAACGGACGCTGCTTCCCTCGGGAAATAAAATTCCCTAGAAAAGCAAATACAGCTGTGCCTTTCTGCTCCCCGAAAATACTCCGTCGGACTCTCCAGCTGGCTGAAAAGCTCATGAAAGATGGTTAGAAAAGCTCTCCAAATATGATTATCATTGACCTAGTTGCTTGCTCTCTGACTTCACTCCATGCATTCTTCTCGTTCAAAGCAATCCAGGAAAAAAAAAATTCAAATCCTCCTTATTTATATTTACAGCTAGTGAGGATAAGTGCTCATGTAGTTACCAACGACATGGCACTTTAAGCAATTTCTCAGGCAACTGTGCTCAGGAGTGTTTTAAGAATTAAGACAAGACCCTAGATTTGGGTAGAGCACCCTTCCCTGCCAAATACCCTCCAGAGGTGCTGGACTACAATATTAATCTTTCCTGGCTAGAATGACCATTTAGCATTGAAGTTCACACATGGGGGAGATAAAGAGGCTCAGAAAAGCTTATGTATTTCCTACCCTTTATTTGTTTCTCTTGTAGTATAAATTTTTACAAGAGCCTAGAGACAACAAGCTATATTCCTGGGTTCTCACTACAGTCTTAATTGATTTCTGAGCCCTCTCTGAAGTCATATAAACAAAAGGTACATAGCCAACCTGGATCCCAAAACCAATGATCAGGATTACATCCGAATATAGTTGCCTCAATAATATTGGAGAATGAAATATATGGGAATGCTTCCCAATAATATTTTCAGCATCATTTTGCACAAAGGTGGCCCGTGTGAGATCGTTGTTCCAAACCATAGATTATATCCTATACTGGTTTGAATTAAAAACATTTTGGGGCTAAGAGCTATTGGGTCCATTTTATAGTACTGAATCAATCCTCCTGGTTCTCTTCTTAAAGGCCAGCTTATAAGATAAGCAGGAAAGTTTATTATTGCCTGAAACCTTGAAGAGGGTGTATTCAATTTGGGGAGAGAGGGATATATTTGCCAGTAATACCTGATTTTGCTGTGATTGTGAAATGGAGAGTCATTTCACCAAAGGAAATTATGTTATGCAAGATGGCATATGAAAGGTTTTTCTTATGGCCAACGGAGGGGGAGAGAAAGCAGGCATTCTGTGGGAGATGGACCTAAAATCTGTTGCAAAGGAGATACTTCATTCTTAACCTGAAGTGGAAGCCTGTGGCTGGATCACCATGTCAAGTTGATGAGGGGAAAATAGATGAAGAAACAGTCATTTGCATAGAAGGGAGGAGAGGTGTCAGAGGTCACAGCTCAGGGGAAGAGGAAACCAGATTGGTAAAGTGTCCCTTGGTCCTTCCCTGTCATACCCCTTTCTGGAACCTAACAGGGCAGAGGGTGATGTCATGGTATCTCTCAACCATCTGCTGCTTCTTCAGAAGGAAATCCTGTAACACACAACCTGGGGTAGCTTTGATAAAGGGCGCCCATGGGGTTCAGCATCTTTTAATGGACTGATTGTTCTCTAGATCAGAGGGGGGGTATTTGTTTTCTGCTCTGCCCTCACATCAGACAGAGGAGCAGGTGGAGATAGCAAAAGAGGTTGTTTTATGGAGGTTGCATTATAACCATTGATACAGATTTTTGTGTGTACATGTGTGTGAGAGAAATTCATTGTTGGACTGAGCACTTTCCCATTGTGCCTCTGGCCACTAACCTCAATGTAATACAGTGAAATCTGGATCCTTTTTTATCCTTGCTCATCTGGCATAAATTGAGGATAGGACCATATAGATAGCCGTTTTAACTCATGGTTGTCTGTGGTCAAAAATGTAGTGATGTAATTTATATTCATAGCCACACAATTTTAGTGAATACATCTCCTGCAACAGTTTAGAAAGCTGAAAAAGCTGTTTAGGAGTTAGTCTAATGTTTCTAGTTTTCAGGGGGAAAACCCCCACATAAATATATTTGGATGTATCTTGTCTTTCAAAACTGGGGGAGGATTCTTCCTATTTTTTGAGCTAAGATGTTGCATTTATAGTAGCTGGATACTGGAGGACAGGGATTGTCAGCTTTCATTCAGGAACAGAAAAACCTCAGATGAGCGAGAATTTGGTAGTCTGGCACTTCGTCTCTACCATGGATTAGCCAAATGTCTAGGGATTCCCACAAGCATCAACTTCTCATGTTGCCCAGTCTCTGGTATTAAGACATATACAATATCTGATTCAAAGCTAATGCATAGATATCAAGACTACAGCAGTCACCAATGATAATCTCAGCCTTAATGACTTTTTAATCAAGCTAATATTCAGTTCCTTGAAAGAAGACTATTATTCTCAGGTTGGCTTTTCAACTGATTTTTAACACTGGTATCCAACTTTGCACATGGATTTGTACCACACCTGAAGTTTAGCATGCATCTTTCACATATTAGAACTTGCCCGATTCTTAATAATAAGGATGGGTTTTTCCTGGTTATATAGAAACTCCTTTTAATTGTTCATGTCCATGGACACAACTGTAATGTTTATGCATTGTTTGATACTTTAATCCAAGAAGTGGCATTCAAAAAGGTAGCAGATTTGATATGATGGGGTATGTAATAATACCACATTTATTTTGTAGGCCATTTAGTTTTATAAATCTTTTATTAACACACATAGAATAACAGAATAATGGAGTTGGAAGAGACTTTGGAGATTTTCCAATCCAACCTCCTGTTCAAGCAGAAGGCCCTACACTATTCTCAGACAAATGGATGTTCAATCTCTTCTTAAAAACCTCCAGTGATGGAGCACTCACAGCTTCTGCAATTCTGCTGATTAATTGTTGAAAGGAGAATTTGGAAGAGGATGTAATTCAGTGAAGCAGTGTGTCTTTCTTTGTTTTGCCCACTTCAATTCCCAGGCCCTGGACTCTGCTAAATACATTGCTCATGCCTGCAGTTAATGTTGCAATATGACTTTGAAGGATGTTGTATTTTCATTCTTACAGTGGAGGACCAAGTGGGATGCTGGATTTGAATTAAGGAAAGTCAGGTGCAAATCTATTCTTTTAGGCAGAGAATTACCTTTCAGATGACCCCAATTTACAGTTGTATTTGGGGAATGAATCAGAAAAATCTTGTGTATTTTTGGAGAAGGAAAGAAGTATCAGTGATAAAAAAGTACAATTTTGGTAGAGCAATTTGGCTTCCTAGAATGCGACCTTTGGACTAGAGTTGAATACCAATTGTCTTCTGAAATTCTCCAGTATATTTGTGGACAGAGAATTGGAGTAAATGATTATCTCCAGAGGAAAGAGATTGTTTCTATCACTTTTTTCAAGAGAAGGATTATCCCTTAGTGATAATAGCTGCACCACTCTACAAAAGCCCTGGAAACCCAGCAGGTTGCAGGTAGCTAAAGAGAAGATAATGCAGCAAAGATAGTTACTCTCACAGAATCTATGGCCAAATTGTAATTAAATATGTCAAGTACACCACACACTACCTATTAGAATTTATCCAAAGTCTTTCCCAGCCTAATGCTTTATTAGAAGCATTAGATTTCAACTCCCAAAATTACCAGCATGCTTTGGGACTTTGGGGTGGAGATCAACACGGTGTTCTGCAAATATTAATCACTTTGTAACTATCCCCTGCCCAGGCAGCAGCCCAGGAAGACTTGAACTAGAGAGAAGTGACCATGAACAGGACAAGAAACAATGGTTGGCAGGTCAAGAAACAATGGATCGAAACTAATCAAAGAGAGAAGCAACCTGGAATTAAGGAGAAACTTCCTAACAGTGAGGACAATTAGTCAGTGGAACAGCTTGCCTTCAGAAGTTGTAGGTGCTTCATAAGAAGAGACTAGACAATCATTTATCTGAAATGGTATATGTTCTCCTGCTTAAGCAGGGGGCTGGACTAGAAGACTCCAAAGTCCCTTCCTCTATTCTGTTCTGTTCTATTCTATTCTATTCCATTCTATTCCATTCCATTCCATTCTATTCATAGGATCCAGAAGATTTTATTTGGTTATATCTGAGTTTCAAAATTCCAGATACACTAGATCAGGGATTCCTAAACTTTTTGCCATGACACTCCCTTAAAAATCCAGACACCAAAATAAAATGGACAAAGAAGACAATACAAGGAAACTTTGAAAACAGTGGATTTATTGTAATAAACTAAAAGATTCTTCATACATTTCCTGGATTTTGTCTTCACCTCCCTAG